AGAGAAGTAGATGGCAGGCCCCTTCCCTTCAAAGGCATGGCCTTGAAGCAGAACTTACCACTTCTGCTCCTGTCGCGCTGGTGAGAACTTGGCCATCTTCGACTGTGAGGGAGCTTGGGAAAAATGGTCTTTGAGTAACCACGTACTCACCTAAAACCTGTGGGCTGCGGGTTTTATTACTGAAGGAAGCATGATAGAATGGCTATTGGGAGGGACAAATCACAGAGAGTGCGGTGATTGATTAGTGATGTCTGCCACAGCGTAGGCAAAGGAAGTTACAGCTCAAGGTGAATTTTTTCTTTTTCTCATCTCAGTAAGGAAATGTCTTGTGTTTCAGACCCACTGTGCCACTTGTACAAGCTCTAGTCATGTTGAAATTGAGAAAGTTCCTACACACTCTGGGCTTCAGTTTCTTCATTTTTAAAATGAGAAGTTTGAGTTCACATTTCCAAGGTCACACAGTGAGTGAGTGGTCCCCCCACACCAAAAAAAAAAAGGGAAAAAAAAGAAAGAAAAAAAAATCTAATCTCTTCATGCCCTGTCCCGATGAGGTAGAAACACAATTCTAGATTCTCAGACCTGGACTGGCTCTGATTTCAGCACCTCTCCCATCACCTTAAAAATGAGGAAACTGAGGCACAGAGCAGGAAAAGGACTTAATCAGGGCATTCGGAAAGTCTGGTCTCCGGATATTCGGGCTGATGTTTTCTCCAGCGTAACTTGGTCCCTGTCTGTCTTCAGCGATGATCCAATCAGGATCCACCCAGCAGAGAGCCTTGGGCTGTGTTTGCTCAAACTATTGGCAAATATTTTTTTCTTTGGGACACCAGCCCTTCTTTTCCCACACAGATAGAGCTCAAAGAGAAGTCGAAAGCAGGGTTCTCATCCTCAGCCAATTTAATTCCATTCTTGAGTCTTCTCCAACTGTGCACTCAACCATGCATCACTGACATTTGCGGCTGGATCCTTCTCTGGGGTGGGGCCATTGTGTGCACTGCAGGATGTTGAGCAGCGTCCCTGCCTCCACCCATCAGATGCCAGTAGCATCCTGGTCCCCAGTTGTAACAATCAAAAATGTCTCCAGACATTTCCCAGTGTGCCCTGGGGGGCAGAATCGCTGCTGGGTAGGAACCGCTGAACTAGAGACACTTATGACTGAGGAGTGGTTTAGTCCATTTTCCTACTTCAGATCAACATAAACATTTCAACCCAGAGTCTTCATCTGGCATCTGACAGCGCTGGCTTTGAAATCCTGGCTCTGCCACTTCTAAGTGTGTGACTCTGTCTGTGCCCCAGTTTCCTTATCTGTGAAGTGGGGGGCCCATTAGAGTACCTCATGGCTGAGCACTCAGACACATGAGCTCTTGTTTCTGTGTGGCTACAAGCATCACTGCCATGGCATGGAGCCTGGAAGAGAAGCTGCTGGTGGTTGGCACCCAGGAGAGCATGGTAGCTGTGTGGGATATGGAAGAACAGCAGGTGATCCACATCCTACCTGGACACACAGGTGAGGCTCAGGAAGTGGGGTTTATGATCAGCTTCCTCCTAGAGTCCCACAGCAATCAGTCAGTCCCCTGGGGCCCCTTCACTACCAATTCATTTCTCTGTAGTAAAACCCTGGCCTTTGTTCCTGCATCAGCTAGCTATAGCCACATAACAAAACACCCCAAACAGGAATATAAATTGGTGCAGCCACTGTGGAGAATAGTATGGAGGTTCCTCAAAAACTAAAAATAAAGTTGCCATATGATCCAGCAGTCCTACTCCTGGGCATATATCTGGACAAAACTATAATTTGAAAAGATACATGCATCCCTATGTTCATAGCAGCAGTATTGAAAATAGCCAAGACTTGGCAACAACCTACATGTTCATTGACAGATGAATGGACAAAGAAGATGTGGTGTGTATACACACACACACACACACACACACACACACACACACACACACAATGGAATATTACTCAGCCATAAAAAAGAATGACATGGTGCCATTTGCACCTACATGGATGGCCCTAGAGATGATCATACTAAGTGATGTAAGGCAGAAAGAGAAAGACAAATACCATATGATATCATTTATATGTGGAATATAAAATATGACGCAAATGAACTTATCTACAAAACAGAAACAGACTCACAGACATAGAGAACAGACTTGTGGTTGCAAAGGGGAAGGGGGGGCAGGGGAGGGTTGGATGGGGAGTTTGGGACCAGCAGATGCAAACTATTATATATGGGATGGATAAACAACAAGGTCCTATTGTATAGCACAGGGAACTATATTCAATATCCTGTAATAAACCATAATGGAAAAGAATATGAGAAAGAAAAAACAAAACCCACCCCAAACAGAGTAGCTTCAAACAATAGCTGTTTATTTAGCTCACCTCTGTGACTGGGCAATTCAGGCTGGGCTCAGCCAGGCAGCTCTTCTGGTCTCAGCCAGGCTTGCTCATGCATAGGTAGTCAGTTATGGGGCATCTGGGAGCTGGCTGGTTCAGGATGTTCTTAGCTGAGACAACTCAACTCTGTTCCACATGATCTCTCATCCTCCAGCAGGTGAGCCTGGGCAGAGGCAGGGTTTCAAGAGGGCAAGCAGAAGTGTACAAGGTCTCTGAAGGCCTGGAACTGGCCTTGGAACTGGCACCCCTTCACATTCTATTGGCCAAAGGAAGTCCCAAGAACAATCCAGAATCAATGGGTAGGGAAATTGGCTTCATCTCTTGATGGGAGGAGCAAAGTCACACTGCACAAGGTATAGATCTTGGAGGGTAAAGGATTGTGGTCATTTATGCAATTTGTCTACCACAGTCTCTCAGAGCTTAAGTAACGTTTTCATTTCTACAAAACCATCACAGCTATGGTTGATTCATTCCAACAATTATTGAGTGTTTACTGTGTCCAGGCCCTGATCTGAGGCTGAAGAGAGACAGATCAGGGCCAAAACTCGGGTAAGGGGAGTGAGGCACACCCCTTGGGTGTAAAATTTAAAAGCATCCCAAAGTTAAAAAAAAACTTGGTCATCATGATAATATTTCAATGCAATGTGTTTATTATTTACTTATTTATTTTGTTTTGGCCGTGCCACACAGCATGCAGGATCTTAGTTCCCCAACCAGGGATCAAACCCATGCCCCCTGCAGTGGAAGCATGGAGTCTTAACCACTGGACCGCTGGGGAATTCCCGAATTCAAATATTTATTTATTTATTTATTTATTTATTTATTTATTTATTTATTGGCTGCATTGGGTCTTAGTTGCAGCACGCGGGACCTTTCGTTTTGGCGCACGGGCTCTTCCTTGCAGTGCGTGGGCTTTTCTCTAGTTGTAGCGCACAGGCTCCAGAGCACATGGGCTCATTAGTTGTGGCGCGCGAGCTTTAGTTGCCCCGCCGCATGTGGGATCTTAGTTCCCTGACCAGGCATCAAACCGGCGTCCCCAGCATTGCAGGACTGATTCTTAACCACTGCGGAAAGTCCTGCAAATGTAATTTTTAAAAATGTTTTTAAAAATCAAAAAACTAATGCAAAACAATCCACGATGAATAAATATCAACCTGTCTTAAAGACAGGATGAGTAATAGTGCTGTGTCAATCCATACTGGAGAGAGAGGCAAAAGGAAAACTCAACAATTTGGTACCTCCTTAAACTTTGCACCCGAGGTAAGTGCCTTACGTGCCTCACCCTGATCCCGGCCCTGAGTCAGATCCATGTATTTGAGAAGGGAAGCCAGGACAAAAATGTAGTTACAAATTGCAATAAGTGTAATGAGGAAAACAGGGTGTCATGAGCTACAATAACCAAAGTGACTGACCTAGGGCAGTTAGGGAAAGGATTTCTCTGAGCAGGGACACTCAGCCAAGATACAAAGGCTATGAATAAGTGTGCAAAGGGCAGGAGGGTAGAGCATCCCAGGTGTGGGAAACAACCAGTGCAAAGACCCTGAGAAGATGAGGTTGGAACATTGATAGAGTAGCAAGGAAGCTGTAAGACTGGAGCTTAGGATATTGTATCAAATGAAAGAAGCCACTCACAAAAGACTACATTGTATGTGATTCATTTATATGAAATGTCTGCAACAGGGAAATCTGGAGAGACAGAAAGCAGGTTAGTGGTGGTCAGGGGCTGGTGGAAGGGGGATGGAGAGAGACTGCTAATGGGGACGGGGTTTCCTTTTTGGGTGACAAAAATGTTCTGGAATCTGATAGAGGTGACGTTTGCACAACATCGTGAATGTACTAGTATCACTGATTATACAATTTAAGATGGTTTAAATGATAAGGAGAGAAAAGGGAGGGAGTGACAGTTTTCGAGGTTATGAAAATACTCTAAACCTAGCCTGTGGTGATGGTTGCACAACTCTGGGAACATTCATTTCCCAGAACAGTGAATTATACTGTTGTACATGAATAGGTGAATTTTATGCTTGTGAATTATATCTCAATAAAGATGTTAAAATATTATATTATTGCAATCTAAGTATGTACATGGTTTTATTATTTTTTTCTCAACATTTTGCCGTAAACATTCTTTTGTTTTCATGGAATCTTTTTAAAAACAACTTTATTGAGGTATAATTTACATACCATTCAATACACCTGTTTTAAACATATAGTCAATGATTTTGTAGTAAATTTATCAAATTTTGCCACCATCACCATAATCCTGCTGTAGAACTTTCCATCACCCCAAGGAAATCCCTCCTGCCCCCTTTGCAGCCCCATGGTAACCCCCAGCCCCATGGTAACCACTGATGTGCTTTCTGAGTCTACAGATTTGTATTTTCTGGACATTTCATATAAATGAAATTGTATACTATGTGGTCTTTTGCACGGGACTTCTTTCACTCCACATAACATTGTTTGAGTTCATCTGTATTGTTACATGTATGGATAGTTGGTTCCTTTGCATTGCTGAGCCGTATTCCATTGCATGGAAGGAACAGAGGTTTTAATCCATTCATCACTTGAAGGACATTTACACTGTTCCCAGTTTGGGGCTGTTATGAATAATGCTGCTGTGATTCATTGAATCTTCATCTTTATAAAGCTTAACTGCACCAAACATATTTCATTTCTCTCGATAGATCGTGTTCCAGAATTTATTAAACTATTTAAAAAAATTTTTTTGGCTATTAGGCTATTTCTAGTTATCTGCTATTTGGATAACACTGGGATGAATCTGGGATTTTTTTGTTAGTTTGTTTTTAATTAATTAATTTATTTATATTTATCTTTGGCTGTGTTGGGTCTTCGTTTCTGTGCGAGGTCTTTCTCCAGTTGCGGTGAGCGGGGTCCACTCTTCATCACGATGCGCGGGCCTCTCACTGTCGCGGCCTCTCCCGTTGCGGAGCACAGGCTCCAGACGCGCAGGCTCAGTAGTTGTGGCTCACGGGCTTAGTTGCTCCGCAGCATGTGGGATCTTCCCAGACCAGGGCTTGAACCCGTGTCCCCTGCATTGGCAGGCAGATTCTTAACCACTGCACCACCAGGGAAGCCCAAATCTGTTTTTACTCTTGCCAATATTTTTCCGTTCTGTTGAATATTTCTAGTGAGTGGTATTCTTGAACTGAAAGGTATGAACATTCTTATGGGTTGTGAGAGGTGTTATCTTATTGCTTTCCAGATTGTAACACTCTCCAACCCCAAAGCTCCCAGCTTTACATGTTTTCATTTTACTCTTTTTGTCTGAGGGGTTGGAGTGGGGTGGATACTGACAGAGTATCTGTCAAATAAGATTCCTTCTATTTTATCATCATCAGGATAGCTGTTTTCCTAGAGGTCTATTCAATCTCTGTATCTGTGTGTGAGAGCCATCTCTTCAAGACCTGAGCCCATTTACCAATGGTGACCTTGATTCATTTTTTAAAGTCCTCAAACTCTTATTATTTGTAATCAGAAAAGCTCAATAATCAATTTACTGAAAAAAAACTGAAAATATTATAGACCTACATAATAGGGGAAGTGAAAGTTTCCGATCCTGTGACAGCATGCTGGAGGTGGTTGGTACTGGCTTGTGAGAGCTGTCTGAAATTTTCAAGAATTTGGGGAGGTGATTGTCAAACACAACCATTCTTTTTTTTTAATTAATTTTTTTTATTGAAGTATAGTATATTTACAATGTTGTGTTAATTTCTGCTGTACAGCAAAGTAACTCAGTTATACACATATATACATTCTTTTATTTTTATTATTATTATTATTATTTTTTTTTTCAGTACGCGGGCCTCTCACTGTTGCGGCCTCTCCCGTTGCGGAGCACAGGCTCCAGACGCACAGGCTCAGCGGCCATGGCTCACGGGCCCAGCCGCTCCGCGGCATGTGGAATCTTCCCGGACCAGGGCACGAACCCGTGTCCGCTGCATCGGCAGGCAGACTCTCATCCACTGCGCCACCAGGGAAGCCCTATATACATTCTTTTTTGTATTCTTTTCCATCATGGTTTATCCCAGTATACTGAATATAGTTCCCTGTGCTATACAGTAAGACCTTGTTGTTTCTCCATTCTGTATGTAAGTTTGCATCTACTAACCCTGAACTCCCAGTCCATCCCTCCCCCACTTCCCTCTCCCCCTTGGCAACCACAAGTCTGTTCTCTATGTCCAAATACAGTCATTCTTAAACATTAAATTATAGAAGCATACAAATAGATTATATTAAAACAAGGTAATAAATACTCAAAGCTCATCACTTTCTAAATATTTTACCACACTCTACTCTTACCTCTCTTCTTGGCTGTTATATCCATGTGATGGAAATGGTGTGTTACTGACCATCTCTTTACAACTGCATATATATATATATATATATATATATATATATCCAAGAACCAGGTTGCACAAGCTTATATGACTATATATAACCATAGTCTTTTTTTTTTTTTTAGTTAACATCACATATTTTGCCTCTTTCCATATCATGTATACATCTCTAATTCACTTTAGCAGTGATATAGTATCCTATGTATGGGGATATATTATAAAGCATTACTATTTACAGAAATTTTGGTTGAAAAATACCACAATTGTAAGAAATAAAAATCACCCCTAATACTGCTGGCGTATGAATTCTAAAGTAAAATTCCCTTCCTTTACTCTCCCCTCACCCTTCAGTGTCCCCCGGGAAGTGATCAGTGCAGACAGTCTGTTATATGCCATTAGCAATTTTTCTCTAGGCTTATGCAGACATAGCTCTGTCCTTTGAGCTTTTGTCAAAAATCACATCATGCTGTTTTATATACTGGGTTGCAACTTGCTTTTGTTGCAGTAGGTTGTAACAATGTTTTGTGGTGATTGAGAGCCTGGGCTCCAAGCTGAGATCCTAGCTCCATTACTTATTAACCAGGTGGCTTTGGATAAGTTACTGTACTCAGCTGTGGCTCAGTTTCCCCATCTATACAATGGGATAACAATAGTACCTCACGAGCTGTCATGAGATTAAAAGAGTTTAATGCATGTTAACCACTTACAACTATGTTTGGCACACAGAAAGCACTAAGTATTGGCTGTTCTAATAATAATTATTATTACGTGTATGTATATATCCATTTTATTATTTTTTAATGCCTGCCTAATATTCTTTACATGGATGTACCATATTACTTAACCAACTCCCTTTCATAGACAGGTTGTTTTCAGTTTTCTTTTTACACAGACAGTGTTGCATTAAAGTCCTTCTCCAGCTTCACACACTTATGCTATTATTTCTGTAAGACACATTCCTGGAAGTGGGATTTCTGAGTCAAATTGTATGCACATTGTTCATTTTCCCCCCTTTTTCTTAGCTTTTTATTCTAAAAATAACTGTAGACTCAGAGAAATTTGCTGAAATAGCACAGAGAATTCCTGTGTACCTTTTATCTACCTTTCCAGGCTCGCAATGTCTTACATAACTATAGTATATTATCAAAACCAAGATATTGCACATTTTAACTTTTAATAAATGTCACCAAATTACCCTTCCGCAAATTTATATCAACGTATACTCCTATCAGCATGGTATGAGATTAACTGATTTCTTGTACCTTTGCCAACACTCCAGCAATTAATTCATAGTTTTTGCCAATACTATGGATAATAATGATATTGGTATTTCATGTTCCATTTTGTGACTACTAGTGAGATTGAACATAATTTTCAAATGTTTATTGTCCACTTGTGCTATTTCTGTAAATCTCTTGTTATATGATTTGTCCAATATGTAAGCTGTTTGCGTTTTTGTTGCTTATTTGTAAGAACTCTTTGTTTATTAAAGAGGGTCTCCATTTATCTGTTATATACTGCAAATATTTCCTCCTAATGTGTCATATGCCTTTCAAATTTATCCTCCTGAAATTTTACACTTTTATGTAATCCAGTTTGTCAATTTTTCCCCTTTATGTCTTCCAAATTTTGTTCTCCTTAGAAAAATATCTCTCCAGGAGTGTGAAATCTTCTCCCATAATTTTATTTTGGTTTTCTTTTTGTTTATTAATTTTAAATACTCCCTGGATGATGATAACCTTTTATACATTTCGATGATCTCTATTTAATACAGATTCAACATTTGGGCAATTGATTTAATCCCAACCAGTTGTTACACTCAATTTAGCTTTGCCACATTCCATTATTTGTAATTTGGATATGTTCTAATCTATCCATCTTTCCTTTGGGAAACCAGGGAATTTCCAAGCCAGCAGAGGTTATGGTAGTTGGAAGGTAAAAATGTTCCCAGCTAATATACTATCCTCCACCCTGGCCTGCTGCAGGAGAGGTGAGGTGTGTGAAAGTGTTTGTCAAAGGATCGCTTGCCATCTCTACCTCGAAGGATCACACCTGTGCTTGTGAAACTTACTCTCTGACCAAGAGAAATTCACCATTTGGGATGGAGGCTCAGAAGGTCCCACTGAACCTCAGATCTCGAGCCTTCATGTGGGCGAAGCAAAGAAGGTTGTGTATTCAGCATCTAGCTCAAAGGTAACAAACGCTTGCCCCGTTTGCAAAGTAAAGCTGAGACCAGAGCAGTCAAAGATGGCGTATGGTGTTTATATAAGGAGGGGCTCCCTGATGTGGAACAGGGGGACTGTAAACAGAGGTACACAACTACTTGAGAGGGTGCCATAAAGGGCTTCAAAACTTATAGTTGGATTAGATGATCTTGATAGATCTTTCTGATCCTAAGGGTTAAGACCTTTCACCATTTTTAATGCAGTCATTTTTTTTAGTGCTATAAATTTCCCTCTGAGTACTGCTTTACCTACATCCCATGAACTTTGATATGTTACGTTATCATTTATATTTAGTTCAAAATATTTTTAGCATTTCCCTTTTGATTTCTTCTTTGATCTATGGGCTATTTAGCAGTGTGATATTCATTTCCAAATATTTGAGAGGTTCCCAGATAGTGTTCTCTTATTTTTTTCCTAATATAATTCCATTTGCATTATGTGAATCCTTTCAAATTTATTGAAATGCTCCTTCTTGGTAAATGTTCCACATGCATCTGAAAACCATATGTTTTCTGCTGTGTTATTCCATTATGTCAATCATAACTCTATAATCTGATCATTTTATGAATAGAAACACACAACAGATTAATGGGTTAAAGCTTAGAAATTAAAGGCATGGGCCAAATCTGTATCTAAGTCCCAGTTGACTTCTTTGCAAGCTGAGTAATCTTGATTGTATCACCTCACCTCTCTGCCTCAATTCTTCCTCTACCTCATGAGATAATGAATGTAAAACACTCTTCATAGTGTTGGGTACATTGTAAGCAACAAATAATTAATAGCTATTAATTATTCTATTTTATTAGTAATTGATGGTTGTTAATGTAAGTAATATTGGCAGCTTACAAACTATGCTGTCCAAAGTGGAGAACCACCAGCTAGATGTGGTTATTGAGCACTTGAAATGTGGCTATTCCAAATTGAGATGTGCTGTAAGTATAAAACACACAGTGGATTTCAAAGACTCAGTATCATAAAAAAAGTTAAATATTTCAATAATAATTTTATATCGATTACATGTTGAAATGATAACATTTGGATATACTGGGTTACTAAAGTATATAATTGAAATTGATATCACTTGTTTCTTTTTACCTTTTTTAAGGTGGCTAATAAAAAATATAAAGTCATGTGTGGCTTGCATTATATTTTTATTGGACAATGTAGGCTTAAATATTACAGAAGTGTGGGTTGATTTCAAGACTGATTATAGAAATCAGCTTTGTTATCAGCAAAAGTTTGGAAAATACAGTAAAGAAATAATATACAATAAATAATTGCAAACATTACCATTATTAACATTTTCATGATTTTGCTTTACATGGTGCGTGTGTGTGTATGCACATGTGCATATGTGTATGAAACAAAATGGGGATAAAACCATATGCACAGTTTTTTAAAATATATATATATTTATTTATTTATTTATTTTTGGCTGCACTGGGTCTTCATTGCCGCGCGAGGGCTTTCTCTAGCAGTGGAGAGTGGGGGCTATTCTTCGTTGCAGTGTGCAGGCTTCTCACTGCGGTGGTTTCTCTTACTGTGGAGCACAGGCTCTAAGTGTGGGCTCAGTAGTTGTGGCACATGGGCTTAATTGCTCTGAGGCACGTGGGATCTTCCCAGACCAGAGATCGCACCCATGTCCCCTGCATTGACAGGTGGATTCTTAAACACTGTGCCACCAGGGAAGTCCCTAAGCAGTTTTATAAAGCTGTTTTTGCCCATAACCTTAAACATTCTTCAAAAACAGCATGATTAGTGATTTCATAAGATTCCGTTGCATAGCTCTGCTGTAGTTTATTTAACTAATCCCTCATTACTGGACATGTAGGTTGTTTCCATTTCTTTCCACTTTCAAATAGCTGAGGTAACTTTCCTTGTACATATATCTTTGTGTGTATCTCTCCTTATTTCTTTAGTGTAAATCTCACAAATAGAATTAATGGGAAATGTTTACTATTTAAATGATTACTGCTGATAAAGGTACTTTTGGGGGTAAGGTTAAAAATGAAACCTCTTTAATTATTAATCAGCAATTACTTGGAATGAACATATAGGCACATGGCATAGCTGACTGTTTTTCTATCTATAAAACCTTTTATTTTAGAACAATTTTAGATTTATGGGAAAGGTATAAAGATAGTAGAGAGAGTTCCCGTATGGCCTCGTTCCAGCCTTCTCCAAAGTCAACAACTTATATAACCAGTGTACATTTGTCAAAACTAAGACATTAATATTGACAATTACTATCAACTCAGTTCCAGACTTTATTTGGATTTTATCCATTTTTTCATGAATGTCCTTTTGCCATTCCAAGATCCAATCCAGTATCCCTCCCCCTTCCCCACTCCTTTTTTTAAAACTGACAGAGTGTCGATGATAAAATGCATGAACTATAAAAAAAATAGGTCTTAATATAGCCAATATTTTGTAATAACTCTAAATGGAAAGGAACTTTACAAAATTGTACAAAGATAAAAATTTTTTTAATTGCAATGACAAAAAAAAAAAAAAGAAGAGGTCTTGCATTCGACTCTGGAAAACTTGCAGGCTAGGTCTCCCTCTGACATGGCTCTTTCTTTTCATCATTCCTTTAGATCAATGCTTGGAATCTGGAAACTGAAGAGCTGATTTTCCATATCCTGGGGGATGCCTCTGACCCCTGGGTGTGCACGGCAGTGCTGGCTTCCAGGGCCACGCTGCTGACGGTGTCGCAGTGTGACGTGGTCAGTCTGTGGAGTTCAGCCACAGGAACACTGCAAAGGAAGCAACATTTGTCCAACATCAAAGAAGAAACAATTACCTGTGGGGTCTCAGTCCAGAAACAAAGAAAGATGGTGACCGGGTCCAGCAAGGGCTCCATCTCTTTGGTAAGCAACTTGACTGAATAGGATGCCAACATTAATTCAGCTCCAAAATGCTCAGATGGCCTAGAAGTTGGGAGAAACCATCTCACCTTTGATGTTTTTAACAAATGACACTGGGCTTCTTCATTCTAGGGATCTGCAATTCAGCTCAGTCCAGGAAACATCTCTTGGTGTCTCCTGGGGGCTGGCCGGTGTGGGCGATTGTTGGTGCTCAATCCTGCTGGGGATGATCTGGGAGGAAGTATAGAATGTGCATCAGAACTGTCCCTGCTGAGGGGTCAGGAGCTGGGGCTCTATCCACCAGCTCCATCAGTGGTTAGGTGAGGGCTGCTCCCAGGAACATTAACACAGAGGCCAAGTGTGTGGAAGGATAGGGTCAGAAAAAACAACCCAGTGCAGAGTTGCAGGTGTGTGGTGAGCAGCCCTCAGGAGTAGAGGAGTATGCTGAGGGGATATGGATGGGGCACCAAGAGTGAGTTATACAGAAGCCACAGGTGGAGGAACAAGGGCACCTGGCCAGGCATTGGAGGGGCTGTAGAAGTATAAGAGCCCAACCACATCCTCAAGGAACTCAATCTAGGGAGGGAAGCCAGGTTTGCCAATGACATTTTTAGGCATTTTTAGGCAACTAAAGGCTGAGAGAACTTGTCTCCAACAAATCTGCACTATAAGAAATGCTGGGAAAAAAAAAAAAAGAAATGCTGGAAATAAGTTCTTCAGGCTGTGGGGATATAACACCAGATGAAAGTCCAATGAATAAAGGAAGAGCACCAGAAACAGTAACATTAGGAGGAAGCTCAGCTCAAAGCTGTCTGTGTCCTAGGAAAATCAGAGCTTGAAAAAGTAGGTACCCAAAGACTCTAGAACTATTTGGTCTTGGGAAAAGCAGTCCTCTTGCACCAAAGTTCCTGTGTGGTACCCAGCCATCACTCCTCATCCAAGCTGGCTCTGAAATATTGAAGTCCAAGTGGAACTCAAGATGCTAGAGCCTCTAGACCTGCAAGCTATGAAAGACGATCGTGTATATGTCAGCCAAGAGCCTGGGGTTGAAATAACATGAAACCTACAAGGATTTAAAAAATGTAAACAGACCCCATCCTGCTCTGAAATAAACACATGCATTTCTTCTGAGCACAACTGTAATGCTGCGTGTGCTGCCTGCATAGGGCAATTCCAACCTTGAGACCAGAGAGCCTACTACCACCTGCCTTTAGTCATTGCAATTCAGTGAAACTGTGAAACTGACTAACGCATGGAATGATGATTTTGTCAGGAATGGGAGCTTTATTTTACTATCTAAATGTTAATGTTTTAAAAACACCTCCCCAAATTTATCTGGTTCAGCAAAGTGCATGTAATAGAGCCCTTATTTTGAACATAAAAAGTACGTATTTTTGGGAAAAGGAAATCCATTTCTTGGGCACTTTGTCTTCTTCATGGGGGTATAGATTGGTGAAACCCTTGGGAGAGAAATCTTGCAGAGTCTAAGATTAAAAAGTCACATCCCCATCTTAAATACTTGCCCATGTGCACACAAATGTAAACAGAGTGTGGCCTCATTTCCTGTGAATTTGACTTAGGTAAATACGAAATAATATTATAAAAGTATTCAGTCTCATTTTATGTGCACATTTAGGAAATATGCACATAAATATGCACATAAATAGGGAAAGTGCAAACACATTTAAAATTTATTTAGCATCTTATGATCTCACAGCGAGGGGTGGGGGTAGGTCAATTGAAGACTATGTTTACACTAGTGTGAGTGGCAGCAGCACTGTAGCTGGTGGACAGAAACACCTACCATCCTTCATCCATCCAAGGGGAAAATCCCTCTCAAATCTGTCATGTTTTGTATTATCTGAGATCTTCAGGTATATACCCCCCACTTAAAATGAGACCGGCCTTGACGATAGTATCCCTCCGTGTAATAGCAAAACATTGACATGATCTGAAATGTCCATCTATGGGAAAATAGTTAAGTGAATTAAGGAAATTTTATACCATGGAAGATTACATAACTATAAAAAATTAGATAGCCTTGAGCAGTGGTCAGCTAACTCTGGCCCACTGCCTGTTTTTGTTCAGCTCATGAGCTGAGAATGGTTTTTCTGATTTTAATGGTTGAAAAACGATTTTTAAAAGAAGAATATCTTGTGACATGTGAAAATTCCATAGAATCCATATTTAATGTCCATAAATGATGTTGTCTTGGCACATAACCACACCGTTTGTCTACATACGGTCTGTGGCTGCATTTGTGCTCTAATGGCAAAGTTGAGACCACATGGCCACAAAGTCTAAAGGGTTTACTATCTGGCCCATTACAGGAAAATTTGCTGGCCCCTGGCCTAGAGATACTTTCATGGAAATAATAAACTCTCACATAGTGCTCACTGTGTACTAAGGGCTATTCCAGGGACTTTTATACCTATTATCTTATTTAACCCTCAAAACACAGCTAAGATGTAGCTGCTGCCATTATCTGTATGTTACAGATGTGTTAAACTGAAGCACAGAGAGATGAAGTCATTTGCCTAAGGTCACACAGCTAGGAAGTGTCACAGACAGGATTTGAACTCAAGCAGTCTGGCTCTAGGATCCATGCTCTTAAGCGCTATGCTACACCTGGGTGCCATTGACAGCTGGGGCCAGGTCTTTCTTTGCCATTGGGGGCCGTCCTATGCGTTGTAGGGTGTTTAGCAGCATCCCTAGCCACTGCCCACTAGATGCAGAGCATCTGCCCTATCTTTACAACCAAAAATGTCTCTAAGACGTTGCCCAGTGTTCTCAGTGGGGAGGGACAAAATCACCCCTTGCTCCAGTTGAGAACCGCTGCCCCAGACACATTAAGTGAAAAAAGCAACTTGCAGAACAATACCTACGAGGGACGGTGGAGAAAGGAGGCTTGTGTAAATGTTTACCTACACAAACGGATTCTCAGCAAACATAGACAAAGATGCCTTCCAGGGAGAAAGCACAATGGCGGGGAAGGTGAAAAGATGCTCATGGTGAGGTCTGTATATTTCTTTTTTTTTTTTAATTATACAGTATTACAGTTTAATTTTTTTAAGTTTTAAAAGAATCACGTTTTTGAAAAAGCAGCAATAACACTGTCGATGAAAATTCAATTAACTATCAAGTTAAGAAGAAAAAAGGGAATTTTATTCGAGCTAAACTGAGGATTATAACCCAGGAAGCTGATTCTGAGAAAGCTCTGAGAACTGTTCTGCCTGTTAGAAGTCGAAGGCACATCATGTACATTTTTGAGACAAACCATCATACATCAAAATGACGTGCTGGTATTTTACATAAAGTTCACCAAGGATATATAGGCCTGGTAAACAAGTACAAAGCGAGCAGCGAGTCACCATGACTCCCTACAGAGCTGGGAAAGAACACTATATTCTTTTTTTTCTTTTTTAACATCTTTTTGGAGTATAATTGCTTTACAATGGTGTGTTAGTTTCTGCTTTATAACAAAGCGAATCAGTTATACATATACATATGTTCCCATATCTCTTCCCTCTTGTGTCTCCCTCCCTCCCACCCTCCTTATCCCACCCCTCTAGGTGGTCACAAAGCACCGAGCTGATCTCCCTGTGCTATGCGGCTGCTTCCCACTAGCTGTCTATTTTGTGTTTGGTAGTGTATATATGTCCATGCCTCTCTCTCACTTTGTCACAGCTTACCCTTCCCACACCCATATCCTCAAGTCCATGTTCTAGTAGGTCTGTGTCTTTATTCCCATCTTGCCCCAGGTTCTTCATGACCTTATTTTTTTTTCTTAGATTCCATATATATGTGTTAGCATACGGTATTTGTTTTTCTCTTTCTGACTTAACTTCACTCTGTATGACAGACTCTAGGTCCATCCACCTCACTACAAATAACTCAATTTGGTTTCTTTTTATGGCTGAGTAATATTCCATTGTATATAGGTGCCACGTCTTCTTTATCCATTCATCTGTCGATGGACACCTACATTGCTTCCATGTCCTGGCTATTGTAAATAAAGCTGCAATGAACATTTTGGTACATGAGTCTTTTTGAATTATGGTTTTCTCAGGGTATATGACCAGTAGTGGGATTGCTGGGTCCTATGGTAGTTCTATTTTTAGTTTTTTAAGGAACCTCCCTACTGTTCTCCATAGTGGCTGTATCAATTTACATTCCCACCAACAGTGCAAGAGTGTTCCCTTTTCTCCACACCCTCTCCAGCATTTCTTGTTTCTAGATTTTTTTTTCTTTTTTTTTTTTGTGGTACGCAGGCCTCTCACTGTTGTGGCCTCTCCCGTTGCGGAGCACAGGCTCCAGACGCGCAGGCTCAGCAGCCATGGCTTACAGGCCCAGCCGCTCCGCGGCATGTGGGATCCTCCTGGACCAGGGCACAAACCCGTGTCCCCTGCATCGGCAGGCGGACTCTCAACCACTGTGCCATCAGGGAAGCCCCTGTTTCTAAATTTTTTTGATGATGGCCATTCTGACTGGTGTGAGGTGATACCTAACTGTAGTTTTGATTTGCATTTCTCTAATGATTAGTGATGTTGAGCATTCTTTCACGTGTTTGTTGGCAATCTGTATATCTTCTTTGGAGAAATGTCTACTTAGGTCTTCTGCCCATTTTTGGATTGGGTTGTTTGTTTTTTTGGTACTGAGCTGCATGAGCTGCTTGTAAATTTTGGAGATGAATCCTTTGTCAGTTGCTTCATTTGCAAATATTTTCTCCCATTCTGAGGCTTGTCTTTTCGTCTTGTTTATGGTTTCCTTTGCTGTGCAAAAGCTTTGAAGTTTCATTAGGTCCCATTTGTTTATTTTTGGTTTTATTTCCATTTCTCTAGGAGGTGGGTCAGAAAGGATCTTGCTGTGATTTATGTCATAGAGGAACACTATTCTTTTAAGAAGTTATATTGCTAGCGTCAGAAGAAAGGGGAAAAAAATTGATGTTTATGGTTAAGCAGGCACTCCCATCTTTGAGGAGCTCTGGTTAACGTGTGATGCAAATCACACTGCACCTTAGGGGAAGAGAATACCCAAACTAACACAGAGACAGAATTTTATGTTTAATTTTTTCTTGTCCTGCCTTAACATATAAATTATTTTTGTAAAATATAAATTAAAATATAATTTTTATTTCATCAACAGCCGTGTAGAAATTCACTTCCTCCTGCCCTTGCTTAAAACAAAAACAAAAGCAAAAAAAAAAAAAAAAAAAAAAAAAAAGAAAAAAAAAAAACCTTCCTCTTAGATCCGAACAAAACCAGTTCATTTCTGCAACTCGGGAATGGGGAGAATGATGCTGCCCTCCTCCGGCTCCAACCTACCTTTCGACCTTACCTGAGATCTTCAGAGCTCCTCTGGGGGTAGAAAACTAGAGCGCTGGGATGTTCTCTGGGTCCCCGAGTTGGTTATGACAACAATGTCAACAGTAATAATAATAGCTGCCACTTTGGAAGGGCTGATTATGGGCCAGAGGGAACCATCCTATGCACTTCTTAACCACAATAGCCCTGTGAGGCAGTCCTGGTATCATGTCCCATTTAACAGATGAGGTAACTGAGGCAGCCAGGGGCTAAGGAATTTGCTTAGGATCACAGAGCTGGTGAGTGGCAGAGCCCTGCGTCAAATGCAAGCTCTTGACCCTGAACGCTTAACCCAGTGGAAATGCTTGATGGGCATCCTTGATTCTGCACAGGTTTCCCCCGAAGGAGACAGCCTGCTGGAGAAGCTTCCAGAAGCCGTGGGAGTTCCTGGTGGTCTCTGAAGATGAGTCCCTTCTCGCTGCACGTAGCATTTAGCTCTCATTTGGAGTCATGAGGCGGCAACTCCAGATTTGGTTGCAAGTGGAGAGGGGCTTGGGGAAAGGGGAAAGAGGGTCAGCAAACTTTTTCTGCAAAGAGCCTCATAGTAAATAAACATCATTGCCTGTCTCTGTCACAACTATCCAACCCTGCCCTTGTAATTCAAAAGCCTCCATGGACGATATTTCAAGTGAGTATGGCTATGTGCCAATAAAACTTTCATGGATGCTGAAATTTGGATTTCATACCATTTTCATGTGTTATGAAATAGTAATCTTATTTTAGTTTTTTCAAGCATGTAAAAAACTTAAAAACTATTAGCTCACATGTAAAAATTGGGGACCAGCCAATTTTCACCCACGGGTTGTAGTTTGCCAACACATGTTCTGGATAAATCTCTGAACCTTTCTGGGCTTCCGGTCCATTATCTTGGAAATGGGAGTGGTTATTCCTGCCAGAGTGTCACAGGGATAGAGGAAGGTAGGGTGAGAGGATAGGGTACACTCAGCGCACACTACCCCAGCCACAAGAAAGACTGGTTGGTGCTATGTCAAGATAAGAAACAGGGGCTATAGGAACATGTGACAGGATTCCCTTTCCTTAGTCTGAAGCAATCAGGGAAGGCTACCTGGGAGAGGTGACCAACAGGTGCTCCACATCCCGATTTTTTTTTAAAGAAAAAAATTTTAGAGCAGTTTTAGTTAGGTTCACAGCCAAACCGAAGATACAGAGAGTTCCATATACCTGTGAGTGGGTCTGTGCTCCCACTCACACACAGCCTCCCCCATTTTCAATATGGCCCACCAGAGTGGTGAATTTGTTACAACTGATGAACCTACACTGACACAGCATCCTCACTCAAACTCCATAGCTAACATTATGGTTCACTCTTGGTGTTACATATTCTGTGGGTCTGGACAAATATATAATGATGTATATCCATCGTTATAGTATCATACAGATTACTTTCACTGCCCTTAAATCAGTCTGATTTTTACAAAGCCATCTCCAGGGGCCAAAGACACTTTAGAACAGCACTGTCCAGTAATGCAGACTATGAATGTGAGCCACATTTATACTTTGAATTTTCTCCTGACCCTAGTTAAAAAGATAAAAAGAAACAGGTGACATTTGTGTTAATGATATATCTTATTTAATACAATAGACCCCAAAACCCAACATGAAATCAGTATGATTTTAATGGTATATTTCACATTACTTTTAAAATTCTTGTGTGAAGTTTTTGATATCTAGCATGTATTTTATACTTATGGCTCATCTCTTGAGACCAGCCTCATTAATAGCCATGTGTGACTTGTGCCAACTGTATTGGAGAGTGCAGGTCCAGTAGATAAATGCTTATCCTCTAAGATTGACTGACGGAAGGTTGAATGATGTATACCCTCCATCCTGTTTCCAAAAGAATTTCAAGTGACTTAAGTGTGTATAAAATAAGCGTGGGAAACAGGAACAAAAGACAAAAGAAAATGAGCATGGTGGCACAAAATAGAATCAAGACTGAGACCAAAGGCATTGAGGACCTCAGTGACCTAGAAACTTGTTACAGTTGGGTTTCAAGTATGGCTCTTTCCAGCATCCAGTGAGAAGAAGGGGCCTGAGCAGTTTTTCCATCCACAGTTTTGGGAACCAACCTTTGCTTGCAAGATGTACCTCAATCTTAAGTCAGCTAAGATCAGGCAAGGATTTCATTGATATTTAAATAGAATTACGGTTCAGGGGTCCCCAAGATCATCTTCAGGTCCGATGATTTTTTAGGGCTCACAGAACTCAGAAGAGCTGTTACACTCACAGTTACAGTTTATTGCAGCAAAAGGATACAGATTAAAATCAGCAAAAGGAAGAGGCACATGTGGCAGAGTCCAGGAGAGACCAAGCATGAGCTTGTCCTCCTCCAGTGGAGTCTTGCAGGCAGTGCGTACTTACCCAGCAATGATGTATGACAACATCCACGACGTACTGCCAACCAGGAAATCTCACACCAGCCTTGGCGTCCGGGCTTTTTACTGGTAGATGGTCATGTAGACACGGCTGATCCTTGCACAGCTAACTTTAATCACCAGCCCCACCCCTGAGGTCAAGCTGATACTGCATGTCCCAAAGCTCCCACCATACATCACACTCTGAGCATAGACCATGCAGTGTGGCCCAAGGCCTCAGGGTAACAAAGATACTCTTTTTAGGCAGGACATTGCAAGGGCTTAGAGGTCACATTCCAGGAGCCAGACTAGGACCAAACCTTTCATGTGCAGGGTGTGGACGACCCAGGCCTGCTGAGTTCATCCTTTACTGCATAAGAGTATAATGCAAATATCCTTGGACAGTAGATATTTTGGTGCATTTCTTCAGTTTCCCCCACACATGTTTCATCCATAACATCCTTCCATGTGAGGCTATCGTTCAAGCACAATTCAATAAAAGTAGTTCCACAGGGAGCATGGAGAGACATAAGGCAGACTCAGCCCCCAACCCTCAGTGACCTGACTTGATCCAGGGATTATCTTGAGGCTAAACTGAGATGTCACATGTGAGGTGCACAGCAGAGAGCCTCATACCATAACTCCTCAGTGAGAGAGTTAACCTTGTAATAACAGTAGTTAATACTTGGGTATTTACAATGTGTTATAACCCATCCTAAACAGTTAACATGTGTTAATTCCTTTACACCCCAATAGCCCTGGGAGGTAGACACTTTTACTATTCTCATTTATAGATGAGGAAACTGAGGCACAGAGAAGTTAGGTAACTTGCTTGAGGTCACACAGCTGTAAGTGGAGGGGCTGGGATTTGAATTCATAGTCAGGCTTGACTCTGCAGCCTCAAATAAGATGCTGAATGTTTGTTTATTTACAGACAATGTTTTATTTCTGAACCTCTGGAAGAATTGATGGCCTGCCTATCTTGTCAGCGATAACTCCTGGGAAAGCACAGCATATCCACTTGAATGAGGTCATGCTAACCCAGCACCCACACCGAGACCTGAGCTGTCGGTGCCAATGGAAATGCATGACTTAGCAGGTGATCTGTGGTGTTCCAGGGACAGAGATCTTTTTATAAAGAAAGGGGACGGCTTCCTTCCCACTCAAGAAAGACAATAAACACACACACACACACACACACAGACACACACACACACACACACACAGCTGAGTTTCTCTGCCAGCTGCTGCGGTGTGTCCCATGGTGCGTTTAGTGGCTGATCAGAAGTGGGGCCTGAACTCTCTCCTGTATGGGGCCTGGAAGGCCGTGTATAATCTGGCCTTCACCCACCTCCCTGCGCTGCTAGGGGTCCTCTCAACAAAACATTCACTCAGACAGCATTTGGAACACAAGAGAGTAAGTCCCCTTGGTTAGGGTTGCCAGATAAAATACAGAACACTCAGTTAAATTTCAGGTAAACAACAAATCAAGTTTTTAGTATAAGTATATCCCACATAACACTGTGGGATATACTCAAAAATTTCACTGTTCCTCTGAAATTCCAATTTAACTGGGTGTCCTGCTGTTGTTGTTGCAGTTGTTGTTTTGCTAAATCTGGCACCCCTTCCTCTCACTCACCTCCCCTTCCTTCACTCTGCTCCAGCCACACTGGCCTCCATGCTGGTCTTCAAACACACTAGGCCTTTCCTACCTCCTGGTTGTCCCATGCTATTCCCATTATTCCAGTGCCTGCCACTTCCTCATCTCTCTAAAATCAAAACAAATGTCCTGTAACAAATTACCATACAAACCTGGTGGCTTAAAACAACAAGAATTTCTTCACTCACTGTTCTAGGGGCCAGAAGTCCGAAAGCAAGGCATTGGCAGGGCTGCCTCCCTCCAGAGTCTTCAGAGAAGTGCTTTTTTTAAAAAAACGTCTTTATTGGAGTATAATTGCTTTACAATGTTGTGTTAGTTTCTGCTGTATAAAAAAGTGAATCAGGGCTTCCCTGGTGGCGCAGTGGTTGAGAGTCCGCCTGCCGATGCAGAGGACACGGGTTCGTGCCCCGGTCCGGGAGGATCCCACATGCCGCAGAGCGGCTGGGCCCGTGAGCCATGGCTGCTGAGCCTGTGCGTCCGGAGCCTGTGCTCCGCAACGGGAGAGGCCACAACAGTGAGAGGCCCGCGTACCGCAAAAAAAAAAAACGTGAATCAGCTATACATATACATATATCCCCATATCTCCTTCCTCTTGCGTCTCCCTCTCACCCCACCATCCCACCCCTCTAGGTGGTCACAAAGCGCTGAGCTGATCTCCCTGTGCTATGTGGCTGCTTCCCACTAGCTATCTATTTTACGTTTGGTAGTGTATATATGTCCATGCCACTCTCTTACTTCGTCCCAGCTTACCTTTCCCCCTCCCTGTGTCCTCAAGCCCATTCTCTATGTCTGCATCTTTATTACTGTCCTGCCTCTAGGTTCTTCAGAACGATTGTTTTTTAGATTCCATATATATGTGTTAGCATACAGTATTTATTTTTCTCTTTCTGACTTACTTCACTCTGTATAACAGTCTCTAGGTCCATCCACCTCACTACATATAACTCAATTTTGTTTCTTTTTATGGCTGAGTAATATTCCATTGTATATACATGCCACATCTTCTTTATCCATTCATCTGTCGATGGACACCTACATTGCTTCCATGTCCTGGCTATTGTAAATAGAGCTGCAATGAACATTTTGGTACATGAGTCTTTTTGAATTATGGTTTTCTCAGGGTATATGACCAGTAGTGGGATTGCTGGGTCCTATGGTAGTTCTATTTTTAGTTTTTTAAGGAACCTCCCTACTGTTCTCCATAGTGGCTGTATCAATTTACATTCTCACCAACAGTGCAAGAGGGTTCCCTTTTCTCCACACCCTCTCCAGCATTTATTGTTTGTAGATTTTTTGATGATGGCCATTCTGACTGGTGTGAGGTGATACCTCACTGTAGTTTTGATTTGCATTTCTCTAATGATTACTGATGTTGAGCATCCTTTCATG